GGTAGTGTTTTCTGAGTTTAGAAGTGTGGTGGAGAGCTGGAGAGATGGCTCAGCGGTTAAGAGCACTGATTGTTCTTCCAGAGGTCCCGAGTTCAATTCCCAGCAACCACATGGTGGCTCACAACCACCTATAAAATGAGATCTGGAACCCTCTTCTGGCCTGCAGGCAGAACATTGTATACATAGTAAATAAATAAATCTGGAAAAAGAAGTGTTGTGGAACATTCCTTTACACTGTGATTGGGTTAATAAAAAACTAACCTGGCGGGGGCAGTGGTGGCACATGCCTTTAATTCCAGCACTCTGGAGGCGAGGCAGAGACAAGCAGATCTCTGTGGGTTTGAGGCCAGCCTGGTCTACAAAGCGAGTTCCAGGGAAGCTAGGGCTTATATACAGAGAAATCCTGCCTCGAAAAACCAAAAACAAACAAAAAAAAAAAAAGCTAACTGATCATTAGCCATTAGCTAGGCAGGAGGTATAAGTGGGAACTTCTGGACAAAGAGAACTCTGGGAAGAAAGATGGAGTTGCCAGCCAGACAGGGAAGAAATAGGATGGGCAAATGGAGATGAGGTAACGAGCGCATGGAAGAACGTAGGTTAAAAAAATATGGACTAATTTAAGTTATAAGAGTTAGTTAGGGGCGGCGGTGGTGCACGCCTTTAATCCCAGCACTCGAGAGGCAGAGGCAGGCGGATCTCTGTGAGTTCGAGACCAGCCTGGTCTACAAGAACTAGGTCTAGGACAGGTTCCAAAGCTACAGAGAAACCCTGTCTTGAAAAAAAAAAAAAAACAAACAAAAGAGTTAGTTAGAAACAAGCCTAAACTATGGCCAAGCTTTCATAATAAGTAATAAGTCTCCATGTCATTCTTTGTGAGCTGGTTGCCCAAAAAAAGATCCATCTATGTAGAGGAGTTAGTATCTCTAAATTTAGCAGATTAGTGAAGGAAGTTTAGATGGGATATAAAACACCAATTTAGGGAGTTAATCCCATTTTCCCACCCTACTTGGAGGCTATGCACATAGGGAGTTTAGCACATTAGGGCAGACACTAGGTAGGCTGTCCTGGAACTCGCTCTGTAAACCAGGCTGTCCTGGAACTTGCTCTGTAAACCAGGCTGGGATTAAAGGTGTGCCTCGAACTCACAGAGATCCACCTGCCTCTGCCTCTGCCTCCTGAGTACTGGGATTAAAGGAGTGTGCCACCACTGCCTGGCAGTATTTTCTAAAATAACAAAAAGAAGAAAAAATCGAAGAGATGCAAAGACCCACCCCATAACCTAGCTGCTAGTTTGAAGTACCAGGTAGAGTGCATGACCCCGCACTAGAGGACGGACAACACAGTAGGTGATAATACACAGCATTATCACAAATGCAGCCTTTATGTGTTGTGCTGTGACCTTAAAATGGCTGTGACATCATGGAGGTGAAAGGAATTTCCAACCCCATTCTGGTCTTAAGGGATCATCGTGGAATATGCAGTTTATTACCAACATCAATAACCACTCAGTTTTTTTTAAAAAAAAAGATTTTTTATTTTTAAACTGTATATATGCGCTGTTGAAGAGGCACTCTGAAAGGCTGGACACTTGAAGTAAAAGATGAGGTTGTTACCAAGTGGTGCTGGCACACACCTTTAATCCCAGCATTCAAGAGGCCGAGGAAGAAAAATCTCTGGGAGTTTGAGGCCAACCTGGACTACAGAGAGCGTTCCAGTATAGCCAAGGCTAAACAGAGAAACCCTGTCTTGGGGGGAAAAAATCGTGTCTGTGTCTAACATGTGAGACACGCCACAGCGAGCCTGCAGAAACCAGAGGACAAGTTTCGGGAGTCCGATCTTGCTTCCCACCTGGCTGAGGCAGGTTCCTCCTTTTCACAGCCACCAGGCTGCATACCCCAGCTTCCTTGTCCCATCTCTGCTGCTCATCTCATTGGACGAGTGCTGGGTTTACACCACTGAATCTCTGCATCTGGCTTTTATGTGGATTCCAGAGATAGAACCCGGGTTGTCAAGCTTGCGAAGCTAGAACTTTCTCCCTATCCTCCTTCTTTCTTCCCTTTCTGAGATTGGGTATCCTTAAGTAGCCCAGGCTTGCCATGAACTCATGGCAATCCCGACTATCGGGATTTAGGTCTGCACCATAAACCAGGCTTACATTTCTTTTTCCTTTTCCTATAGGTGCTGTTGCTGTTGCAAAATCATCCTCTCTGTGGTGGTTTACAAGTAACTAACACCTGTCTTGAACTTCTGCCAAGTGAGAGGGTGACTAATATTTTAGTACTGTTCTCTAATTGAAATGGTAGTAGGCTCAAGGAAACGCACATCAGTTTTCTCACCAGACACATAGACCTAAAACTGTACCTTTATGAAGAAGTGAGTATATATTTATAGATCACGTATATGACATATGATGCATATATATATGTATATATATACACACAAACACACACATAAACTCGTAGGAACAAGGTAAGAAAAACATAGACTAAAGACAAAGAGTGTTGGATGTAAGGGCACACATTGGGGAGGCTAAAAGGCAGAACAATGTGAAATTTCAGGCCAGCCTGAGCTACTTACTTAGTAAGACTATCTTTTGGTGGGGATGAGTTACTGACCAAAGGCTCTCATGTAGCCCAGTCTGGCCTGGGATTCATTATGAATCAGAAGGTGAGCTTGAATCTATTTCCATCTCCCAAGTGCTGGAATAACAGGCATGTGTCATCATGCCCAGCTCATGGTTCCGTCTTTAAAACAATCTGGTCAGAAGCCAGGTGTGGTCATGCACACTTTTAAGCCTAGCCCTTGGGAGGCAGAAACAGGTGGATCTCTGAGTTCAAGGGCAGCCTGTTCTAGGTAGGAAGATCCAGGACAGCCAGAGCTACATAGTGAGACTCTGTCTCCCCCCAAAAAAAATTGCTAAATTGAATACAGAATTTTTTTTTTTGAGGCAGGATTTCTTGTTAAGTAGCACTGGCTAGCCTTGAACTGGCCATCCTCCTGCCTTGTCCCTCTGAATGCTTGAATTACAGACATTCAATTCTATGCTGTTAACATAGAATCTGCATGCACTTTGAGTTAGTGATTTTGTAGAGTTAGGATTGAAAGTAAAAGGGTATTACCTCTCAAAATCCTGACCTTTGCTCGCCCAAATGACATCTTTGGACAGACTTCCCTTCAAACCTCAGGGGAGGGGTTTATTTGTTGTTCTTGATGGAACCTGGCTTTATCAGGCACGAGCCAGGTTTTACAAATCAGTTGTGCTGGCCTAGGGCCTGACAAAAAGAATAATAATAAATCAATAAAGGTGAATCGAAACAGGTCAAGGTCAACCCTTGCCTTCTTGTTGAAAGAACAACTGTGGAGAACACCCTCGTCTGTCTTCTTTGCACGTGCTGAAGAGTCTGCAGAGGCAACAAGCCAGGCCTTACCCAGGGAAGGGACAGATAATTCAGCTTGATCCACCTGACAAAAAGCACAGAGACTACGAACTCAGGAGACAACTAACCCAGACTGGAGGGTCAGAAAAAGCTTCCCAAGGGAAATGAAATTGAGTTCGGGAAGCATGTATGGGAATAATGATTAGCCCACTGAGAGGTCAGGAGTAGTTTATCTGTGGAAACCCCAGCCAGAGGGAGCAGTCTTTGGTATAATTAAAAGCACGTTGGCCATCTTGGATTTTATCAAAGAGGGGGCAATACTGCTAATGAGATAGATATTTCTTTGTTCATTTGTTTTCAAGACAGTGTTTCTCTTGTGTAGCCCAGGCTGGCCTGGGTCTTTGAACTCAAGGGATCTACCTCCCTCTACTTCCTAAATGCTGGGATTAAAGACCTGTGCCACCACTGCCTGGGGAGATAGAGATTTCTTGAGATTATTCTGTGAGCAGTACTGAGAAGCCATCAGAGATTTTATTATTTTTTTATTTATTTATTTTTTTCACGACAAGGTTTCTTTGTGTAACAGCCCTAGCTGTCCTGGAACTAGCTCTTGTAGACTAGGCTGGCCTCGAACTCACCAAGATCCGCCTGCCTCTGCCTCCCGAGTGCTGAGATTAAAGCATTGTGCCACCACCGCCCAGCAAGATTGTATATTTCAAATGCAATTATATGGCATTCAAAAACAAAAGCCACCTCAAACGTTCAAAGGGTGGGATGGGAGCAATGATGAATGCGGGGGAAACAGAAGTGTTGGGATAGCTCAGATTAGGGTGGTGGGATAAAAAAAGATTGGAAAGTAGGGTGTGCCATTAATGAGTGTGGACTTTATTCTGAAAGGATAAAGGAGAAGCTATTTTTTTCAGTAGCTACGGAGCCAGTCCACGAACTAGCTCCGTAAACCAAGATCCGCCTGCCTCTGCCCCCGGGGTGCTGGGATTAAAGGCGTGCGCCTCCAGGAGAAGCCCGGCAGGAGAAGCTATTTAAACACCTCAACTACCTGCTTGAACCATTGAGCTGCGGGCATAGAAACGTCAAGCAGGGGAAGAGTCTCTGAGGACGTCGCGCAGGTGAGGGAGCAACCTCGGGCCGCGAGCGGGGCGCTGGCCGGACGCCAAAGGGACGCCGGAGGAACCGGGCAGGTACCCAGTCAGGACCTTAAACTCACAGCCCCGCTGGGGGCGGGGCGCGCGGAGCCCGGGGCGGGGACGGAGCACGCACGGCGGCGTGACGTAGGCCCGGCTGGCCTCGTTCTGGCTGCCGCCGCCGCGCTGAGGCGGAGTAGGATGAGGCCCCGGGCCGCGGCTCCAGCGTCGGCAGGGGCAACAGCAGCTGAGGCAGCAGCTAAGGCAGCCGCGACGGCCGCGCCCCCCGCTCCTGACCTGGATTAGGCCCAGCAGCCCCGTGGCCGCCGCCGCCCCGCGGGGGGCGGGGTGGGGGAAGCGCTCGGTCTCCCCGCCCCCGCCCCCCTCAGGCTCCCGGCGCGACCCCGGCGCAGCCCGCGGCCTAGCCTCGCGCCCCCTGCCCCGGGGGCTGGCATGAGCGGCCCCTCGGCGGCGCCGGGGCGCGGGGGAGCCGCCGCCTGAGCCCCCGGGCCTGCCGCCTCGGACTCCGCGGCGCCGAGCTCGCTGGCCGCTGAGTGTGCGAGAGACCGGGTCCCAGCTTTCTTCCTCCCCCAGATCGCACGCACACACCCCAGCCCCGGAAGATGGGGAACTGCCTCAAATCCCCGACCTCGGATGACATCTCCCTGCTTCACGAGTCTCAGTCCGACCGGGCTAGCTTCGGCGAGGGGACGGAGCCAGATCAGGAGCCGCCGCCGCCATATCAGGTAGGGGAGGGTGTGTGTCGCGGCGGGAGGGGAGGCGGCTCAGGCCCTCTGCCCTTGGCCTCCGCGGCCTAGCCTGGGGGGGGGGCACTGACCCCTTCGGGGCTGGCCTTGGGTGTCTGCTGCCCAGTCCTCGGACGGGGAGCGAGCGGTCTCGCCTTCCCCTTGGGCACCGTTTGGGGACGGTGTTCTGTCCTTGAGTTCAGGAATCGCGTCTGTAATCATATCCCCTTGGCTGGTGTCTGGTAGTTAGCTTCTGGAGTTAAGGATGACATGGTTTTCCTGCCTTTATGTCTGAGTTGTGTGATTTCCTCAAGAGACTGCCAACAGGATTATGGGTTGTGGGTAGGTTGTCAACCCCCCACCCCTTTATATTTGTGTCTTCTCTCCCACCCTATCTTTGAGAATTGGTTCTGGTAGGATGTTTTTTTTTTTACCATCTACTTGAGAGGTAGAATTCCAAGTGGGGATTTTAGCCTTCTCTTCATGAAGAGTTACTTGTTTATTTATACATATGTGGTAATTTTTAAGCCCCTCCTCTTTTGCTCCACCCCTGTGACACACCTTTTAAGTAAGTTGACTTAATGAAACCTTGATTATCTTGAACATTAGAGACCTTTCAGCATGACTTGGAAAACGCCATCTGTTACTTAAGGCCTTCTCTTGATAAAGACTTTTTTTTTTAAATATTTATTTATTATGTATACAATATTCTGTCTGTGTGTATGACTGCAGGTCAGAAGAGGACACCAGACCTCATTACAGATGGTTGTGAGCCACCATGTGGTTGCTGGGAATTGAACTCAGGACCTTTGGAAGAGCAGGCAATGCTCTTAACCTCTGAGCCATCTCTCCAGCCCCCTGATAAAGACTCTTGAATGGGTCTTTCTAAATGATACTCAGTAAACTCCCAGGTGGGTTTGAATGCAATTCTTTAGTATTTTCCTGAAGAGAGGCCAGTTTTCTAACTGGGTAGTCGCCTTTTGATTTTATGTGGTGACATCATTAGTTTTCTTTTCTCAATTCTGTGTAAAGCAGTTTCTCATCATTGGGAGAAAAGGGATCATATATGCTGATTTCCTGACCCCTTTAGGGCTCTTTGGTTAGTCCGGTCTTCATTGTAGCCTCGCAGAAGCCTCTGTATTTCAGGCTTACCAAATCAGGCTGTTGACAATTTTGTCTTCACACCAGGTGATCTTTCTGCTAGGATCCTTTTCCCCAAGGTTGCTCAGGTGAACATCTAATCCTCTTTAAGGACTCAGCTCAGTATCTGAAGTCCTGACATTCCCCTCCTTCCTCCCTAGATTTCCTGGATATGTTCCCCCATGAACCCTCTGCACTTATAGAAGCAATACCGTGCCTATAATAATTTAGTATCTTTGTTTAGGTAATGTTGTCTCATCCTTGAAATATGTGTTCCCCTCCCCTTGTATAAGCTGAGTTTGAGACATTTTCAGGTGCTTTTTTATACCCCAGCATCAGATTCATTGTAGATACTCCAACTGAGATAAATGAAGAATAAAAGCTCCGTTCTCAATGTTTCATGCGATTTCTGTCACATAAAAATGCAGTATTAACTATACTTATGTACCCTGTTTCTCCCAGCTTGTTTAAGTTGCTCCAGGAGCAGACTCTTATTTTATCAGTAGCAGGAATTGAACTGAGAGCCCTCCTGTACATGCTAGCAAAGCACTACTGCAGAGCTATGACTCCAGTCTCCCTGCCCCCTTTTTAAAGGTTTTATTTTCAGTGTCTCACAGAGTCACCCAGATAGGTCTTGAACTTTGTCCTACTGCCTCATCCTCCAGAGTTGCTGGAATTACAGGCGTATAACCACCAGACCTCTCTTTCACGTATCTGTCCATAACTTGCTGTTTCTCCCTCTACGATAGCTATTGAACAGATATATTTATTTAGGTGTCATAAGCAAACTTCCCCCCAAAGTCTATACTTCTTAGCTTCTTTCTAGGAAAATTGAAATATGACTTGTTCCTTTCTCTGTTACCACTACCATAATTTTAGAGTTTATGGGAACTATATTTTTGTCCTTTCCAACGGGATAAAAACAGTACTTTTTTTTTTGGAATGTGTTATTTTTGACAGTGGAAATTATTGTGGTTGCCTTTTCCTGAAGTGAATGACCCAGCAGATACTGATCTGCAAAGTTAGTATGAATCGGAAGAAAATGGTTACCTTAAAAGGTGAGATCATAAAAAAAATCTTAGTCTGACATGGTAGCTCATGCCTGTCATCCTAGTACTTGGAAGAAGGGCTGAGGCGGGAGGATTGCAGACAGTCAGCTCTACATAGTGAGTTTTATTTGAGGTCAGCAATACATGGTGCATTCTATGCTGGTCTGGGCTAAAGAGTGAGACCCTTTCTCTAGGTTAAAATTCTTTTAAAATAAAGCTGTAGAAATAATGTCCCCTTGAAGTCTTACTAATACTTGTTTTTACATGATTTGGGAAAGTAGCAGTCCAAAGTAAATTATTTATATCTAGACTTTTTAAAAGAATAGTATATTAACATAATAGCTACAGTGATATATAACATAATAGCTATTTTTTACAGAATAGCTTCAGACTGGCCACGGTGGCATACACCTTTAAATCCCAGCAGCTGGGAGTCAGAGCTGGGGCAGAAGTGGATCTTGAGTTCCAGGCCAACCTGATTGACTATCAAGTTCCAGGCCAGCCAGGGATAAATAATGGGACCTTGTCTCAAAAAAAAAAAAAAGAAAAAGAAAAAACAAAGAATAGACTCAGTTGCAATAGGTCTTTAAGTGGGAAATACCTGATTATAACATTAAAAGAGCATGTGTTTGTTCTCCTGTGACAAGTACTTAAAACATAGTTTTTGTATTAAGGTTGTACAGTATACAGGTATGTCAAGGTTCAGCAATTTCTACTAACAGTAACTGACAGACTTTATTTGAGCTTGACATCCTGGTGTGTAGCTTAGTGGTAGAAATGTGCTTAGTATGTGAGACTCTCTGGGTTTTATATGTGCACCAAACAAACGAAGCATAGTTCAAAATAAAACAAATTATGCACCATTATGCATTTGCATGGAGCCCTTGTTTCTTGGGTGTTTTTTTCTTAAATTTTTGTTGCTGATTTCATTTTGTATTTTTATTTCTCTTGTATTTTGAGACAAGGTGTCACTCTGAGACTTAAGCTCCTGACTCAGCCTCCTGAGTGATTGCAGGGGTGAGCATCATACCAGGTTCTGTAACCTATCTAGTCTGGTTTCACCCTCTTCTCTCACCGTGTTCTCAACCTAGCAGCTAGGGTAGTGGGACCACGGTACTCTACTAAACTCTTTAATGGATCCATATTTGATTTTAGAAAAATTTCCTAAGTCCTAGTCCAGCTCTTCCCCTGGCCTTCTGATTGTACTAAGATAGTCTAGGTCTCAGACCTTTGTCCTGTTCTCTGACTGGATAACTCCCTAGGTTTCACCGTGAATGCATGACTGATTCCCTGACCACCTTCAAGTTTTTATTTTTTGTTTTTGGTAGTGAGGGAAATTTTGGATGAGGGACTGCACTGGAGATCAAACACATGCTAGGCTAACACTGTACTACATTCCTGAGCAGGGTCTCCTGTAGCCTAGGCTGGCTCACAACTGACTGTAGCCAAGGATGACCTTTAGAAGAACAGGCAACGCTCTTAACCGCAGAGCCATCTCTCCAGCCCCATCTGAGATTTTTGTCTCCAGGAAAAAATAAGCATACCTAAAAAGCCAAATGCCATTAATAGTAAATATAAGAATTGGTTTAAAAGTTATTGATTAAAATAATTTCACTTTTTTGCCTTACATAATTATTGGCTGCCACAATAAAGTATGCATTTTATGGGAGAATGCTTGAAATCTCTATCCAGAGTGTTAAGGATTACATTCTGTTCAGGAGTTTATGAATATATGTAGATTGGTGTGTCTCAATTTTACAGTATTTATAGGTTATCCTGACTTGTTTCATCTCAACAGATTCATGGTGTATTAAAAGTAATACATGATAGTCTATACTTTGAATTTTTATTTTTTTCCTATACTGGTATAGAGGAGATTTTTGATTTTTGTTTGTTCTGAGACAAGGTCTTTATATGTAGTCCAAGCTTGCTCAGAATAAACTATATAGTCTTAGCTGACCTTGACTTCCTTCGGCAGCTTCCCAAATGCTGGGATTACAAGCTTGCATCACCAGACCCTACTTTGTTACTCTTTAATGCTAGGCAAAAAAACAAAGTCTTCAGCTCTCCTTTAGCCAGGGTATCACAAGGATACTTTTGAACTCTACTATATTACTAAGCTATGTTGTTGGTAGGGGAAGATAATACTAAATGAAATTTTAACCTAAGGATGTTTTTGACTTACTGTGGCTTTATCAGGGTTAACTCCACTATAAATCCAGGAATATCTTTAGTTTGAAATGGATTGTTTGGGAGACAGGGTGTGCAATTCTGATTGGTCTTGAACTTCAGTCAGTTTGGCCTCACCCCCCCAGGTGCTAGTATCTCATGTGGTTGTGCGTATGGAGGCTAGATGACAACCAACCTTAACTGTTATTGCTCAGATGCTGTTGCCTCGATTTTTTTTTTTTTTTTTGAGGTAAGATCTCACTGGTTTGTTGCAGGGTTGACTGGCTAGGGATCCATTATCTATAGCTTCCCAGCTCTACAAAAGTCTTTATTTATTTATTTATTTATTTATTTATTTATTTATTATGTATGCAATATTCTGTCTGTGTGTGTGTGTGTGCGCGCGTGCGCGCGCGCGCGCGCGCGCTCTCGCAGGCCAGAAGAGGGCACCAGATCTCATTACAGATGGTTGTGAGCCACCATGTGGTTGCTGGGAATTGAACTCAGAACCTTTGGAAGAGCAGGCAGTGCTCTTAACCACTGAGCCATCTTTCCAGCTCCCCTACAAAAGTCTTTTTACATAGATTTTGGAGACCAAAGTCAGGTCGTCCTGCTTATCGCAAGCACTTTGCCATCTTTTCT